CACTGTCACTGTCACTGTCACTGTCACTGTCATCGTCATCGTCGCCGTTACCGTCACTGTCACCGTCACCGTCATAATCACCAGTCACTGTTACCGTCACCGTCACCGTCACCGTCACCGTCATCGTCACCGTCACCGTCACCGTCACCGTCACCAGTCACCCGCTATCTGATGGTAGCGGGTGACTGGCGGTGTGCCGGTCCGGTGCCGCCACCTCAGCGCGGGGCCAGGACCTGGTGTCGTCCCGTCCGCCCGGTGGTGTGTGGTAATGCTGGCTCGTCACGGGGACGGGCTCAGGGGGAGGGGTGACACGCTCCACCGGTGGGTGCTTGTGGGCAATCGTGGACGCGACTTTTCGGAGCTTGCGGGTGAAAGTGAATGCGTCGGCGAGCTTGGATCGTGCAGGCGTACCAAGGAAAGAAGGTGCTGAAATGAGTCGGATTTTTCGGTCCTCTTTTAGCAAGGAATCTGGGCGGGTTTCCAGCTGCAGTACAATCCCTTACTAGGGAGGTAAAAATGTGCATTGCTGTAGAGCATTAGATGCGGGTCCACCTTAAAGTGGTTTGCGCTCTGTTAAGTTATCATGCGCTCTGCACTGGTATGCACCTGGGCTCTCTAAGTCGGGTTGCTGCAAACACGGCCCAGTTTTTGTTCTTTCGGCTTCGTGGTAGAGCAAGCAAAGGCACTTTTATGTTCTTCTAAGTAATACCATTACACATGCTGTTAAAGCTGGACTGAGTCTGTCGGTAACTGGGCCTGAGCACTGACGACAAGGACTCTGTCGAGACAGACCAACGGGTGTAACCGGGCGCCAGTCAACTCCCATGGCTGTCCCCTTCCTCTGCAGTTCCCGCTGCCGTTCTGTGTCAGTAACCGAACGCGGCGCACACAGCGGCGCTGTGATCCGCCGCATCTGCCTGCGAGCGCCACTGAAGGCCCTGAAGCCGTTCCGGAGCGCGGGGTCTGCTCTGGCGGGGTCATGGCCCCCGCCCGTGACCGGGTCATGACAGCCACGCCGGCGGGGTGGGGCCTTCCTCATACCGGGGTCGCCTGTGAGTGTTGCGGTGCAGTGGTGACGCGCAGAACTCTTTTAAAGAATGGAAAAAGGCATGTTTCGTGCTTGCACGACCTTACCGGAGGGACTCAGCGGGGCGGAGCCCACGAATCATTTTGTACCTGCTCATGAGAAGGACGATGATGCGGCGGCGGCGGCGACGTCTGACGTGTGTAGCCTCACGCTCGTTGTTGACGCGTTCAGCCGCTCGACCGCGGAGTCTCGGCCAGAGCGGAGACGCGACCGCCCAGCCAGCGTTCTGCCCTGTTTCCCCCGCAGATCTGTGACCGACTGGAACGCTGAATGATGAGCCGAACTGAGCCGGCGGCGTGGCGCCGGGCCGGGCCGGGTCGAGCCGGGCCGGGCCGAAGCCGGGCCGAGCCGGGCCGGACTGGGCTGGGCTGGGCTGGGCTGGGCTGGGCTGAGCTGGGTTGAGGTCGCTCCAGCGATCGAGCGCGGCAGGTTGTCTGCATTGGGCGGTGCCCGCCCCGGCGGGCGGCTCAACTGCGATCCCATCCCCGCCACTGTCGGGACGGGTGCGGTGGCGCCAGGCGACGGCGTCAGGCACGGCTGACGCCCCGGCCTCTGGCGCCCCGGCCTCGGGCGCCGCCGGCGGATGTGCTCTGACGAGCGACGCGGCCGAACCTGTGGCGTCCGTCTCGGCAGCAATGTCAGCGTTAGGCGCGGTCGAACCTGTGGCGCCCGTCTCGGCAGCGGCGCCAGTATCGGGCACGGCCGAGCCTGTGTCGCCCGTCCCGGCAGCGGTGTCAGCGTCGCGCACGGCCGAGCCTGTGGTGCCCGTCTCGGCAGCGGTGTCAGGGTCAGGCGCGGCCGCCGGCTGCTGATGCGTGCCGGCCGCAGCCCAGAAGCAGGCGTTCGGCACTAAGCTGGCATCGGCCGAGTGCTCGGATATCTCGACGTTTGGAGTTGCACACATCCCGCCACCATGGATTCCCAAACGGGTCCTCTCGATTAATATCTTGCCATCCGGGCCGCAGCCTGGGAAGCCCTGGCGGTCCGTCCGGACCGCAGCATGAAAACTTGTGATTCGACAGTACTTGCAGCCGGTCCTAAATCAGTATCGGCGGTACTGGAGCGGCGCCTTATCTGGGAATGTCAGCACGTAGTCGCAACCAGGAAATATCGACCTGTGTTGAACGCATAAAGCAGGTAAATGTTTCGGTGCCAGTCCAACCTTTCCGGTTTTTGGCTCGCACCCCCACATACAAGCCGGTCAGACAGGAATGGCGCCAGACTTCGGTAGGGTCGGGCCGACAGCGGATCATGGCTCGGTCGCCGGCCGCCGGCCGTCGGCCGCTGGACCGGGGCCGCTATCGGTGCCTCGTCCGGTGCCGGCCCGACACCCGGCCGGCCCGGCCGCACGCCGCGCCGACGACGGCGGCCTCGGGTCACTGGCCGCCGGTCAGCAGGGAACTTTGCTAGGTCAGCGGGGACCCGCGGACCGGTGTAGGACTGAGGACGCACCCCGTCTTGCCGGTTGTCTTCGGTGTCTTGCAGATCATCTGACTCGGTTTGCTCGGATGCATGTCCTCACTGAGGGACATGTCAAAATAAAGTCACCACATTTTCAGTTGGCTGCCCTGCAGTGCCGGATTCTGCGGCGATGACGGGGTGGCCCTGTCCGTCTTCGAAGCATCGCAGTCAGTACAGTCGCTAGCGTCACGGCTTCATGCCAGCTGGGCAAGCTAACCTCGTCCGGGCGACTGCGACATGACACGCCTCCGCTGCTAACACCTTCACAGAAGCGGCGACGGCCTCGGAGCCCGGCGGATCGGGACGTGGGACGTGGCTGGAGTGTTTGTGTGAGGATACCGCTGTATGCAGCGTGTACGGATCGTCGCGGAAGTGTGCGCGCACAAACATCTAGTGGCGTGTCTGTACACAAGGAGGTACGTGAGGCAAAACACGGGCGGGTGGGATGCTTCTCACTCGTGACCTTCATTTCACGGGTCACGTCAGAGAACGCAGAAGAGTGCCCTCAGTATGTGGTCGTACTTCGCAGCGATCGCTGCAGCGAATTTTTTTGCAGTGCTCCGACAGATTTTTCCTAAAAAGGACAGCTTGCAAATTTATAATCAGGGCAATGGGGTGTGTTTGGCAGATCGTCGGTCATCCATCTTTCGATGATGTTCAGCCCTGGACAATGGAGATCCCAGTACTCTCACGTCATGTGGGCTGATCCCCATCTCGCGGTGACGCACCTGCAGTCACTGAAGCACACGCGGAGAACACACACAATTGCTCGGTACAGCGGCGCGCGCCTTACCGAAACGTCAGCACTTCTGCTCTCCCGGTGAAGCCGGGGCGAGCCAGCGTCGGCGCCGGGTCACGCCGCTCCGGTGCACCTTCCGGTGAGGCTGGGGCGAGCCGCGCCAGCCTCAGTGCTGGATCATGCCGCTCCGGCGTACCTCCCGGTGAAGCCGGGGCGAGCTGTGCCAGCCTCAGTGCTGGATCATGCCGCCCCGGTGTACCTTCCGGTGAAGCCGGGGCGTGCCGTGCCAGCCTCAGCGCTGGATCACGCCGCTCCGGTGCACCTTCCGGTGAAGTCGGGGCGAGCTGTGCCAGCCTCAGTGCCGAATCACGCCACTCCGGTGTACCTTCCGGTGAAGTCGGGGCGAGCCAGCCTCAGCGCCGGTTCACGCCGCTCCGGTGCACCTTCCGGTGAAGTCGGGGCGAGCCGTGCCAGCCTCAGTGCCGGATCACCGGCTCCGGCGGTGACGTCGTAGGCCGCTCGACGCACGGGCATCGGTGATGTTCGCCGTATCGGTGCGCAAACATTGATAGCATAAACATCCGTGGTCGTATGTGGTCGGCAGTGTTGACACCGCGGCTTGGCGCTTTAGGCTGGGAGCGGACAGCCGTATCGGGTCTTCGGCCTGGTCAGTCAGCGTCGGTCGTCACCGCCGGCGCGGCACTGACCTTCCCTCCCCCGGGCTCGCTCGTCAGCGGCGGGCATCCATTCACACCGGATGGGATCGGTTCCTTTCTCACCGGAAGACTGCGCGGCCGCGTTGCCGGGAGGTGCGGCCGCTCGGCTCGGCTGGACGGCTGAGAGAAGGGCCGCTCGGCGGGCGGCCGGGAGCACGCGCATGCGGAGACCCGACACCGGACCCGGGGGCCGGCATCGCCTCCAGGAATATACGGGCGCGCGGGGCCGGTGTTGAGCGGCGCACCTGTCACGGCGCTGCGGCTGTCCGACCCCCCGTGTCGGGGCCGAGCGGCACTCCGATGCGACCCCGCAGCTGTGTGCGTCGTCTCGGCAGGGGGCAGCGCCCGCTGGGGGACGGCCGCCGAGAATAGTCCTTACCAGCAGTGCGTCGGATACGTCTCGGGGGAACTGCGCTGGATTTGTCGGCGGCCGAGGTCGGGTGCTTGTGATGGCAGATTGAATTCACTCGCTTAAAGACGCATGTCGTTGTCACCTGTGGCAGGACCACCGGGAGATGCGAGGCAATTGAAGGCACATGAAACACCTAAGGTGGAACCTTTCGTCGGATGGTGTTTTCCGAAGCTAGTTGCTTCCATTAAGCGTTAGATGGAACAGTAGTATTTGGCGCGAGCGATCCATGAGAACGATCATCGGCAAGAAAAAGATAACGGTTCTTGAGATGAGTTGGTGTCGGCGTTTACGACTTTTTGCCAGCGTGCTTTGCTTTACGTCAACTTGATGTTTCCGTGCTGTTTCCGCGCGGCGGTATTCACATGTTTTTTTTTTAATTTTGCCGAAAGATTATATGGATCGTCGATCTGGAACATGTGGACAAGTTGTGGTCGGATCTGGAGTGTGCATTTAGCTATGTTCGCGAGCGACATTTAGGTGGCATTTTGTACAACAGTGGCACATGAGATGCGACGCCGCCACAGTGTCAGAAAGAGAAGCGTGAACTCGTCAGTCTTCTCACCAGAAGCCTCTGATGTCCCACAGATACGACGAGGGAAACGATGGCTTCCTGGACTTGGAGGAGCTGAAGAAGATGATGGAGAAGTTGGGAGCGCCGCAGACGCACATCGGCCTGAAGCAGATGATCCGCGAGGCCAATGAGGACGAGAACGTCACTAAGATCGGCTTCAGAGCGGTAAGATCAGCCTCCGCCCTGATAATCAAGCGCCCGACGATACCTCTGGTGGTAACGACGTTTTCCAGCAATGGACAGCTCAAACGGTATTAGAACTTCCCGACGCTGGGCACGGCTTTGAGGCCCCTTTTGCTAAGTAGCAAGCATCGAGCGTTGTGCTAGATACTTGCTCGCTTTGTCCTCGGCGCAAATTTTGTGGCCTAGCAGCATTCAGACTGATTCAAGGGAACCCCTCTTGACAGCTGTGGGTAATTTCTGGACGCCCGTGACCGCCGCCTCAGCCTTTGCCTGTTGAGTGAGCTGTTCTTCACAGAGCCGTTGCTTTGTGATGGTATGTGTGATATCTGTTGGCTCTGCCCTCGGCGGTGGCTTTGCGGTCAAGCAACAGTCCGTCTAATTCATGGGGTCTCCCTCCTCCTCTTGACAGCCACGGGTGATATCCCGAGACCCGTGACACGAACTGTCGCACCAGCCTGTCTGAGCGGCTAACGTTCCCTGCCGGCCGGCAGTTTCTGACCGTGTTCCGCCGGGCGGCGGCCGGCGAACTGACGGCTGACTCGGGCCTCAGTCAGCTGGCTAAGCTCACCGAGATCGACGTCGACGAAGTGGGCGTGGCTGGCGCCAAGCAGTTCTTCCAGGCCAAGGTGCGTCCGCGCGGTGGCGAGCGCCGGTTGGAGGGCCGGCGCCGTTCAAACGGCCCACGCTGTTCAAAGGATCAACGCCTGTGGGATAGCTGGTGCCGGTCGGAGGTCCGGCGCCGTTCAAAGAGTCAACACTGGTGGGATAGCTGGTGCCGGTTGGAGGGCCACCGCTGGTCGCAGGACCACTACCGGTCGGAGTGCCGGCACCAGTTGGAGGGCCAGCACCGGTCGGTGGGCTGGCGCCCGTTTTCATCATGCTCTCGTACTGAGTAACAACATGATTTTGCCTGGAAAGATACGTTATGAAACATTTTGAGTTCTCATGTGCTGCGTTTTGGTCTGTACAGCAGCCGGTTCACAGTCAGATCGTCGGCGAGTCAGTATCACTCATCTGTTCGTTGGTGTGTCAGTGTTACCCATCTGCGCGCGGTGTGAGCCCGGTGTCGCTGGACAGCTGCGGCCGGACGCTTCCGCCGAGCTGTACCTGCCCTGTTCCTCGACAGATCTCGGAGCTGGAGCGCGACAAGAACTTCCTGGAGGAGATCCGCCGCGAGGAGGAGGAGCGCCAGCGACAGGAGCAGGAGCGGCGCGAGCGCAAGGCCGAGTTCAAACAGAGGGCGGCACTGTTCAACCACGCCTAGCTCAGGTGGCGCTACCGTCGGGATGCGTGACGGGAAGTGCACTCGTGGAGAGCGTGTGATAAGCAATGCGGTGTTTATCTTACTGTGTTTTTGGGAGGGGAAGGTGCAAATTTAAATGAAAACGGACATGTAGCTCTGATGGTGGTTTTGGTGTGTGTGCTTGCGTGAGTTGCTGCTTTTTTCCTCAAGTTTTATCTTGCGAGTTTTTCTTATTTTCGCTTTCAGTGTTTTAATGTCAAAGCTATTTCAAATTATCGTGTTTATTTTTTAAGCAACCGTAGATGTTAATGCGTAGCATTCATCCATAGGGTCATACGAATGCGTGCTGATGGCGAATGAATTGCATAACCCAGTGTAGGCGGAAACAGTCCAAGCTTGTACGCATGTTCCGTGAAATGCTGAAGTGTTGATTAAAACCCGAGTAGCTGCGCCTGTGGGTCGGATTTGAGCGAGTGCAAACTAGAAGTGCTATGGTGTTAGTAACGACTCAACGTGCATCAGCTCATAACAGTAGACATTAGATGAACTCGCCGCATAGCTGAATTAGACATATCGGTAAATATCCGCCTGTGTAATGTGCCTTGTGTCTGCGTAGTGCCCCTAGTAGTAGTTATATATTTGATGCTGAGTCTAATTTGGAGCTGGTTAAATTGTGATGTTCATTTGTGATGTGGTGCTCATGCGTTTGTGGTCAGAGCTTCTGTGCGATCTGCATGGCGATCAAATACAGTTGTAACAATATCGCGCCTTTAACTTCCCCCCACAAGCACCCGACGCGCGTTGAGCACTGATGCACGCCCAGATTTGCACACCGCAAAGCAGGCACGCCGCAGAAAATGCCGTACGCAAGTCACATTCATTAAGGCTAGGCCATTGGAGATCAGGCTGTACCTGTGGTTGCACAAGTGGGTAAGTAGTGGGACGGGCTTACACAAGTCGGGGCCGTTCATTAGATGCTTGGAGCATTTATTAAAAAATTTGGAAAATCGTTTGACAGCGACGTCCAGTTACGTATGACACGCAAGTATCCATCGCCGCCAGTTCACCACCACCCGGCCCCATGTCCAAGTTCACCACCCACCACCAGGTCCTGTGTCCAAATTCACCGCCCACCACCTGGTCCCGTGTCTAAGTTCGCCGCCCACAACCAGGCCCCATGTACAAGTTCACCACGCACCACCAGGTCCCGTGTCCAAGCTCACCACCCACCACCACCAGGTCCCGTGTCCAAGTTCACTACCCACCACCTGGTCCCGTGTCCAAGTTCGCCACCCACCATCTGGTCCCGTGTCCAAGTTCACCACCCACCACCTGGTCCCGTGTCCATGTTCGCCGCCCACCACCTGGTCCTGTGCTTAGTCCGAGCGACTGCCTCTCGGACGGCGCCAGCAGCGCCATCTTTATCTGTGACCTGTCATCCCCCGTTCGTGTGGCGCCTGCAAATCTCTTTTTGCAGATTTGTCAACGTGTTCGCCTTTTTCCGCGCCTGCATACCAGAAGGTAGCTGTCTTTTCTCTCATGGTATCGCCTAGCAAATCTCCGCGTTCGCGTGCGTTCCTGTCCACGTTTAGGGTTCTAAAACCAACGAACAAACAACACTCATTCGCTATTGCTCTCGAAAATTCATTTCGATACAAAATTCGGTACAAGTAAGCGCATCGTAAAGCGGGGTGGTCACTACAACACCAACAACTAGCGCCGCACATCCCCTAGTGGCGGCGGCAGCTAAACATGTCGCCCCGGCGACGGCCAGATGTCACCACCGGCGGCGGCGGGGCACCGTGTACTCCCAGGGCGCCGCTCGCCGCCGCTCCCAAAACAGCCAACAACCCGACATCGTTGAACAGACAGCTGACCGCGCAGGTCTGCGGAGGGCCCGGCGCCGGCGGCGCGCGTGACGGGGCGCCAGCGTCGCTGGACTACGGCCGCCCCGGGCGCCGTCACCCCCACAGAGCGCTATCACAGGCGGCCACTATCACAGTGCGCCGGCGGACAGGCGACACGCGCAGGCGGCTGGCGCGCGGCGCAGCGCCGGCGCCGGGGGCCGCTACGTGCCGCTCCTCTGGGCGCTCGGCTGCGACACGTCGTCCCCGAAAGCCGCCTCCGCGTCCTCCTGGTACAGGCCGTCCTCGCCGCCGGACGCGTCCCTGTCGGCGGCAGGGAGCTGTCAGTGGCGGCAACACACAACTGGAATCCGACGACGCCCCTCAATGACAAGCAACCAGACCGAGTGTGGGCCAACGCAGTACAGGTAAATCGCTCAATGCACGTTTTTGCTCTATTTCGGTAGTCTGCTTCCATTAATTACAATGTTTTGATCGGTTACTCCGTTTAACTGGCAGGTACATCAGGTCCAACACGCATTCTCCATTTGTCGGCACAACACAACGGTCCCTCCGACGAGCCGCCAAGGTCACAACTAAGCACTTGAGTGCAACCCCAGTGATACGAGTTGGACTTCCGGCTGGTTGTTCAGTTGTACGGATAACGCCGGCAGTTGTTGAAGTTGTGCGATAAGGCACGGATAAGACACACAGGAAAAGCACACCACACGGCAGCACGCCGAGACCGTCCGGGGAAAACTGCCGGCGGTAGACTAACACGTCGGCTGGCACCCCGGTTGGCAGCCCTCTCACCAGCGGCCGCCGGGCGGCCCCGGCCGCTCGCCCGGCAGCGGGAGCCGGCGGAATTTTCCATGGCGTGCCAGGCGGTGCGTGACGTCAGGGGAGGCCGGCGCCGACCCGGCCGCGGCACAAGGCCACCCGTGTCAGGGACCCTGGCCTGGCCCGTGCGGGGCCGCTGCGCAGTACTGTCTGTCTCCCACCCCATCACTCGCGCCCGCCGCCTGTGACGGCCTGAGACCGCACACGACCGGCTCGGGGCGGCCCGCCCAGCTCGCAGCGGTCGGTCGGAGCAGACGCCGGCGGCGGCTGGACCGGGAGCGCGGCCAGCGCGGCCAGCGCCGCGGCCGGTGTCCGCCGTCCCCTCACTCACCTGAGCAGGTACACCACCGCCTCGTAGGTGGACATCATGATGGCCGTGTTGGGGATCTGGCGGACGAGCTGGGTGCCGAGGCCGCGGTACAGGCCGCGGTGGCCTTCCTCGCACCACACCACGTACAGCGTCTGGAAGAAGCCGCGGTACTTGGTGCCCTCCTCGCGCAGCCGGGTGCGCGCCACCTCTGCAACGGAGAGGCGGCGCCCGTCAGCCCCAGGTCAGGTCACACGCGGCACGGCCAGTTGGGAAGGGGGACGGGAGGCGGGTGAGTCGCAGCTACATTCGGTCAGTCACCTTGGCAGTGGGGGACGAGTGGGCGTCGGCCATGAGTCATACGGCATTCGCCTGTATACCTGACGCCCCCGCCGCCCCACATATGCTGAACTATTGCCGTCGCAACGAGTGCCTCACAAAACCGGTTCTGAACGGGGTTTGCTATTCCACGTGGCTGGCAGCCAGCCACAAGGTAAGCGGCAAACAGCCAGCCGTGCGCCCTCTGGTAGACGCGTCGCCTTTCGAAGCCTTCCCAAAAACAACATGGCAGGAGGTCAGCGAACGGCGGCAGACTTTACACACGCCGCGTAGCTCGACGCATGGTATATCATCAGCACAACACTCGATGCGCTGCCGCTGTCAAACCGGCCAACAGCGCTCAATACCAGCAGAACGTTCGGCCAGCTCGGCGGTAATATTCTCGGGCTGGTTCCGTGACGACCGAAAGGTATACACAAGCCCGCCGTCCTTCAGAGTGTATGCCAATGCATGCGTACCCCCATCTCCAGACAGATTCGCCTACGATTGTGACACATCTCCACACTGCATCCCAAGCCGCGGCGCTCCAAGCGAGCCGAGCAGCTTTGTATTATGCATGCGGTGCCGAGGACCATGCCGCTATCGATGTCACAAACCACCGCCCGCCAGCTCAGGCGTCCGCGTCACTGTCGGCCGCAGGCGGCTCACCCCGGAGGTCGCTGAAGATGGCGGATTTTCAACGCGAGCTCATGAACCTGATGCCATAGCATGCGTCACAAACGGCTCAGCCCGAGGATGTAGAATTGCATCAGTGCCCGACAGTTCGTGTCGACGAGAAGAGGGTTTTCTGTCCACTGCCTCTCCCAAGAAGTGTACCGTTGCATCAGACTGTTGGGGTTGCATGTCGACGCAAGCTAATGTTTGTTTTGATTATCCTGGTGCCGATTTCCCCAGCCATAGATCGGTGAAAAAATCTATATCAAACGAGTCCACGCCCAAACAGCCTCATTTTTAGTTGGGAGCATAAACAGGTCGACAGGTGCTGGCCATTCACGAAGAAGTGCGAGGTTATATAAACGGGAGCCAGCGCAGCCGTCGGCCACGAAGGCCGGCCCGCGACAGCTGGCAGCACATGTGTGCCCCGGGCGTATCAGACAATCCGACGGTCAGCCCGGCCACGTGACCCACCCAGTCTGCCCCACCCCTGCCTCATCCCTCAGATGTCCATTTCGCCCATCCTTTGTCAGTTACTACACACAGACTACGGGGACGCTGCAAAGCCAGTCTAACGCGAAATCAGGCAATAAGATATGATGCATTCTCTTAATCGCACATCGAACGAAAATCGTGCGGATTCCCGGCAATGAACGGATTCTGTAGAGCACACATTTAGCGGGCCCGAGCGACCGCCTCACAATGTGAGCAGGGCACTGGGCTGCGGCCCGGCGCGTCACGTTGTTGTCCGTCCGGGGAATCCGTCACGGGACGTGACGGCAGCGCCGGCCCGCGGGGCGACCCCGTGATTTTCCATCACTCATACGCCCCGACACGTGTGACCGCAACGACCCGCGCGGAATGTCTGATTCACCAGCCTGGTGACGGCAGTGCGCAGAAGGCCTGCGCTTTTCCGTCACCCCAGGACAAAACAGCTGGAGATAAACACACTTTGCAGCGGCTCTGAGGCCGGCGACTGAAATGGCGGCATGAAAAACGGCAGGGCGTAAACCACGCCCACCCGGGTTCAAACCGCCATAGCTGTTTTCACCGAACTACACACCGCGACAGCTGTTTTCACTAAACCATTTGCGTTGATCAGGACCAACTCAAACAGACCGCAACCGTGGGTTCAAAAGGGTCCAGTTGCTCGAGAATAAACCCGTTCAGACCGCATGCATGAATTGGCATGGGTTCAGCTGCTCGAATCAGGACCGATTGTCGGAGCATTTACAGTGTGGGGCCTAGCGCACCGTTCCCGTTTTCCTTGTACACAAAGTTCGACTAGCACAAACGCCAGCCTGGAATGAGTCCGCCCGGGCGCCCGGACACTGCTTCCGCACCCGGCCGCGTCCGGCCGGCTGAGCTAGTAGACGACAGAGATAACCCATTTCGGTAGGGTGCACCGCTGCTATGTAAACGGAAGGTCTGGCTTGTCACAGCTGCCGGCAGGACGGGTCCACGAGCGGCGCTGCACGCCCGCGCCGCGTCGCAACGGTCGTGCCAGCCAGGCCACGCGTGTGGAGCGGCTCTAGACACCAGACGGCCGGCGCGCGCCCGGCAGACGCCGCCCGACCACAGCAAGGTCGGCTGACGAGGCCAACAGACTGACGCGGAGGCGCGGCCGAGAGCGCCCGGCAGACACAGGTCTGCCAACGACGTCAAGCGCGACGGGGAGGAGAGGGGAGGGGCCCGTAAACCTTCACCTTGAACCTACACAAGCCTTCCGACGATTACATAACTCGAGCTCATGTTTACAATGCCGCCGCACGGCGTCCACAAATACCCCACAGAACGCCGCATCGCAAGATTTCAAGCCTAACACGCCACAGCCTGTCCTCGATCCGGGCGGCGCAGCTCCGACGCGGCCCGAGGCGCTGCGGTCACTGGTGCCGCCCGGCCCCGCCCCGAGGCCCGGCCACCTCCCACCTGCCGCGCCACTCCACTACATTCGGCCAGCGTTGGGACCGGCGGCTGTATCGAGCGGGGAGGCCGCGCCGAGCGGTCCGACCACAGCGCAGTCGGGGACGCCCGGCGGCGACGCGTCCACGGCCAAGGTTCTGCGGGCGGCGCCCGTTGCCGGGGCAGGAGCCGTGCGTCCACCGCGGTAACAGCCGGTCGTCACGAGCGTGGCCGCCTGCCGGGGCGCCGGGCCACCGATCGTCGTCCGGCCTGAGGCCAGCCCGACTCCAGCCGTCGGCCCACGCGTCTATCAGCCGGCTCACCAACTTAACACCACCCGGCGGAAAAAACCGGTTATGCCCGGATATTTCTGGATTGTTCCGACCGTAGCCAGGAGTGAGCCGACGTACGGGAAATGAAAATCCGCCCAGCGGCGCCAGCACGGACATTTTATTTGCCATTAAAGCGCTAAAACTGGAAACCCATGGCAATGACCCGCAATGCCACAGTTCTGAACTGTGATGCCAGACAAGCCAGATCATCGGACCCGCGTGTGTGGAGGACGGGACCGGCGCGGCCGGTCGGCGGCGCTGGGCTTACCGTGGGGGTAGGCGACGCTGGAGGCGATGGTCTTGGAGGCCGCGCCGGCCAGCATGAACTCCACGAAGTCCCAGCTGGTCTTCACGGAGGGATCGGCCGTGCTGCCCGGAAAACAGGCGGCCGGTCAGACGGACGCGCGCGCGCTCGGACGGCATCCGCCAGCGAGAGCGGCTTGTGACGCTTCCGCCCACCCGGTATCACGGCCATCATCCCGCGAGAGCAGCCGCGATGGTGCGGCCCAACACTACATCAGCGGCTGGGCGGAGGGCGCCCTCTGGCCCACCAAAACCAGACCAACGTAAAAAGCCGTCGTCCGTGCCAGGCGACGACTTTCGAGCGAAAACGACAGTCGCTTTATGCGGTGCGTCTCACACAGGGAATGGACACGTATCTGCGGTGAGTCTCTCATACGTCACAGGTGGTGCACAAATATTAAACACATAAAAACAAGAATACTATGCATCTCCTAACCCACAACTCATAGAACGCAACATAGATGAATTGAATTAAAGTCCCGTTTGCTGAGCGACAATAACAATCTGAGCGGTGGCCAGTGTTTGTGCCCGGATTTCACTCCCAACCTGCTGGAAAGAGATAATCACTACCAGCCGGATACGTGGGAGAAACCCCAGCCCGATATGTGACCACCTATCGACTGAGGTACGAGCTACGCGAAGCTAGTCGGGGAACACCACACACGACCGGCGACGGACGAGACCTTTACAGCAGGGCCGGGACAGGGGCAGAGGTCGGAGCCGGGCCAACAAAAGACGGGGCACGGGCCGGGACAGAGACAGAGGCCGGGGTCGAGCTGCCGGGCCAGCCTCACACAGACGTGCACACCTGCACACGGCCAGACAAAGACACGCCATTGCCTCCGAGGACAACGAGCGACGCGAGAACACCTGTCCTTCGCCCGGCGCTCCATGCCCTCGGCTGCGACAGCAGACATGCCGGCTTCGGAATGACAAACGCCGGCCACAACTCAATCCCATATGTGAAACGGAAGACGACGAGCACAGCGGCCAGCACTGCTCTGCCAGACGGATGACGCCGGCGCCGGGCGCTGCCAGCGCGCGCGCCGACCGTCGATCGTCGACCGCCGGCGGTCGTGCTGCCAGCGCACACATCGCTGCACATTCCCGCGCGCCGAAATAGGCCGGCGGCGGCAGCAGTGACGTCGGCTGGGCGCCGCCGGCCGGCTGTCACCTCCCGCCGCCGGCGCGCGCTCCCCGGTGCCCTGCCCACTTACCGGTACATCTGCAGCTGCCGCTTCAGCCGCTCGTAGATGACGAAGTGGATCATGGTCTCAGTGATGCCGAAGTACGAGGCCGTGATGCCGCGGTAGAAGCCGCGGATGCCCTGCAGGAGCGACACGTGTTACCGGCCGTCATCGTCTCAGGGGAGGCGACAGCCAGCGAGCGCCGGCGCGCTGCACACGGGGACAACGCACGCCCCAGCAGGCCGGCACCGAACGCCACCCAGGACTAGCTGACAGCCGTGGAGCGTGACAGCCTGGGACGCGGCCTAAGCAAAGAGCGTGGCGCGGCCGACCACACAAGGACGGAGATGACTGTCATAACCACTTGACATTTGCAGCACGTCTCGCGCCCGAACATGCGCATCGACGCAAGGATAAATGCATCGCCGTCGAGGTAGACCAAACTGTTTACTGACGGATGGCGCGCCGGCCTTCGACCGTTGACCGCACGTGGCGAGGGGCTCGAGGCCCCGCTGGGATCCGCACAGCCGCACAGTCCCGGAGCGTCCGACCGTGCGCGACCGTGAGGATGGTCTTCAGGGGAACAACAGCCGCCCTCCCTGCACGCGCCGCGGGGCAATGGAACGCTGCTTCGGCACAGGTGGCTTGCGCTGCGAGCCAGTGGCAGTACAAGCGAGTCAAGCCAAGCCAAGCCAATGACAGCAGGCACCAGCGGACTCCAGCATCGCGGTATCGCTCCGGGAACACTAAGGACCTAAAACGGACGAGTACCGAATGCCATACGGGGAGATGAGGGTCGGCTGGGCTTGATGGATGGACCACTCAGCCGCCAGTCGTCCGGACTGACGGCATGAGGTCCAGGCATGCTGGCCAAACACCAACTGACCGCTCTATTCCGGACTCTTAGACTCCATTTATGAGCCCGTGCGCTGCCTTTGGGGCCACCAGCTGTGCCGCCATGCCTAATTGTGCCAAAAGGACGCTTCAAGATGCGTCTGCGAGGAAAATCGGGGAAGCTAATTTAAACAATGCATACAAATGGGCACGAGACGAAACAAAATGGAGACATGACAGCTATGGGACAAAGTCAAACGATTGCATCACTCATCATATAAAGCGCTTTGGGCCAAAGTCAAAGGATTGCGTCAGTCGTCGAACTGGTACAGTTCGCAGCCCTCACGTTATTTGAGTCGCCCTGACCGCGCCCGAGAAAGGCGAACCGGCCAATAGGACCGGCCGCTGACTCGACACTCGTCCCTCTGACGTCAACAGTGGCCTCGGACGGCGGCGGAATGTCGCCAAAGCGCCCGAGGCTCCGAGAGGCGACGGCTGCGTGACGCCAGCCAGACCTGCGTCTATGTCGCGAGGTCACAAAATGGAAGACGGAGATCACTGCGCCCTCGTCTGTGGAGTATTTATTATCGCGTGATCAGGAGGTAATTTCGTCCCAGTGTCGGACACATAATATATTCCGAACAGCCCGCGTTTTCATAAACGCGAGGTTGCTGCTCTATGGACGGGTCGCGGCAATGCAGGGATCGCAAAAAAGCCTCGCGGGCGTGGTGCAATGCTTGTACTGTACTTCTCTCTCTCACATAATTACGACTCCCAGTTTTCTTATCTTATTTGCTTCCGGCGACGAAACCATAACGAATTAAGAGGAACGGACCAATCGGCGCAGTGCATACAAAGGTAGGGCTGATCAGGCAAACGCAACCGCCGAAAAAAAATTGATAACGAGACCTACATTGAGTAGGAACAGCCCCGTGCAAACACACTGAGTGGTCATCATAATTGACAGCGGCATAATCTGACCGTGAAGCGGTCTGGAACGCCAGCGGCGGACGGCCGCGCGGACGACCCGGGCATTACCCACTTCATCGCTGGGCAGCGATGCCCTTGCTTGTGCTATTGGGTGGCCCAGGCAGGACTTTCCATTCGTCTCATTCACGGAGAGGACCGAATCATAGCAGCTGTTCATCTGACGCCAGAAAGCACAGTTCTTCACAGGAGCGATGCGTCGTTCCGCGAAAATGGATGTCCGGGAAATCCGGCCGAAGTCCGCAGACGGCTAGCCTTGGCCGCGTTGGGCCCGCGGCCGGCAGCGGCGGCCAACAGCCGCACATTCTAAACAGCCGCTCAAGCCTCCGTGGGGATCACGCGCCAGCCGCGTGCTGCCGGCGCGGCGACACGTGTGGCGGCGGCCAGCCTCAGTCAGGGGCGGCGCCCCTCCCCCTACCCCAAGCTCGACGGCGGCCGGCCGACGGCCGATGCCAGCCACGCGTGGCCCGCCGCGCCACCTCCGCCGGACGTGCACGCCAGCGGCCGCTGCACCAGGACTCGGCCTGACTGGGCCGGCCGCTCGGCCGGCTGACCCTGGACGGCGAGGGAAGCGCGGCCGGCCGACCCGACCGCGCTCCGGCGGCTCGGCGGCGCTCGGACCGGGTGCCGCCCGGCCGGCGACGCCGGCGCGGCCGCTTGGACGGGTCGGGCGTCGGCACCGGCCGGCCCTCGCGCGCAGGCAGACGGCGGGAGCTGCCCTCACCTGCTGCGAGTAGACCCGGTAGATGCAGTCGGAGAGGCGCAGCCGCTTGCCGAACTGCTGCTGGTCCAGCTGCAGGCGCGTCTTGATGAACCAGATCGGGTTGGTGAGCGTGCAGGAGGTGAACCCTGACAACGGGACGGACAGGGTCACGGATCGGGTCATCGGGTCATCAGCGCACCCCCAAATCCCGTTTCCACGCCACCGGGCGGCACGTTACTGCCTCGCAGGGCCCTACGGCCAGGTCACGGTCGGTCAGGGCGCCACGGCATTCTCACATGACTCTCCCACACCGGTTCAGAGCAAAACAGGAACGAAGCGAACCAGCCAGCACTAGGAAATGGCCGTATAGCCAAGGCGATCCAGTCCATTAAGGGGGCTTCCTTATCAGCGCCGAGCTGACAGATAACTATTTCAGTGACAGACTGTACATGGTCTAACGATTAAGACATCGTCTCATGATGACATGCAACGAGTTGTCAAACATGCACAATGAAAGCACTGTTGCTCTCCAGCGGATCGCGATCTGCCCAGACATGCACGGCTGGGAGGGAATCGCTTGTCCAGCACTGTGTGCTTCTGGTAGCTGAGCTGCGCGGCAGCGACAGACGGAAGAGATCAGTACCGGCAAAACGGCGCAGAAGGCGTGCCGCGACTCGAAAATCCCGAGCCGGGCCTGACACGCCATGGCCGATTCCATATTGATCCAGCGACTTAGCCATTGGGCGGAAATTAGAGAGAAAACCGGCTCTCGTGGGATACGGAACAAACGTCCGATGCTTCCGACTGTCCATTATGCCGGCCGGTGGTGAATGACTGTCCTCCAAACAACAGAGCTGGTCAGAAAAATAATCGTGAAAAACGTCGTGCGCATGATTTTCGTATCAAACAGTAAGTTCTATCAACGCGGTGGACGGTAGGAACCGCTTCTCAAAATAAAAACACCTGCAATGAACTCCTATTGCATGTTCATATTAAAAACAGGACAAGCGCACAGTGTCCCCTGCAACATTTATAAGCTACGAAAGCACCAATAAAAGATTCACCTCTGCAAAACTTTGAATTGCATTTGACCTTCCAAAGTTTTCTTTTGTCCTTTCCCCACAGCGGACGGGAAATTATTATCGCAAAAGGGACCTTTTTGACCCCGATCGAGTCAGGAACTTAATATTGTCATGACACATTTCAAGCACGCTTACCGCGCACTCACCTCCCCCATGGCCCATGCCGCGAACAAATTTGCTAGCTATCGCGCCATGGGCAGAAAGCTTTCTTAAAAAAGGAAAATGCGATGTTCACCAAGGGGGCAGTCATTCATCTTCACCAATTTTAGTTAGAAACAATTTCGCCGTACGTCCAACCCCTCAAAACTCAAATACATCCAGCACGGAGTGCCCCCCCCCCCCCCCCCCCTGGCCGACATCTCCGGTTCGGTAGTTAAGCTGCCCGGGGGGCAGCGCCAAGCCAGAGCCGGCTGACCGGGCCAGCGAGCCGCGCCATTGGCCAGTGGTGGTGAGCGGGCCCCGGCCAGCCCCCGGCCGCAGCAGCACCCGTCTAAACACAGCGGCAGGCACCCGCCGCCATACACCGCCCGACCTCGGTCCGGAGCTGAAGGACACAAGGTGAACATGGCGCCCAGGAACCGCCCTCCCTTCCGGCCGGCGACGGAACTGAGGAAGGATGGGGCGAGGGGCAGGGGAGGGCGAAGGACGCGTTCTAAAACCAACTCGCAGCGTTTTTGCTGCTACTGCGGCTCCTTCCGCAACCTCTTATTCTATGTCTCACATGCGGCAAGATAAGAACAGCATGAAATGTCCTCTGCGGGCACAAAGCTGCGTACGGATTTCCGGGGACGGGACAGACCGGAAGACAGGAGTCGGTACACGCGAGGACAGCCCAGACGAAACCGAACCCTCCCAAACGGTCGCCGTCGGAACTGAGTGGTCCTCACGTCTCACCGACACCGAGGAATTCGGCGTCCCACTGGCGTGGCGCGTATCAAAATAGGCGGCTTACAACAGTATGCGCGACCCAACACAACTGCAGCAGTGCGCGTGCTCCAGCAGCACAGCCCCGTCTCTTTGCGCAGTAACTGTTACAAATACTTGTGCTGTGTTATGCTGCATGCACCATGCAACCGTGATAGCCTACGCACTGTGATGATGACGATTGGAGCTGAAAGGCATGCCGAAGTCCGATGTCACGCTGTGTCCAAGCCAAGCTGTTGACTATTTTGTTTCGACATATGATTATTGATATTTCAAGCGATCTTAATTTTCCAAGCAGAGCTTCAGACCGTAGCAGTGTTGGAACTACAAACCAGCCGCCCATCCCACGGTATCAGACCCACCCGAGAGAGGACGTATCGCTCATTGCGAAACAAAGACCGGCGACACCGGTTCACGCAGACGAACAGATCCCAGCACAAGGCCATTTCAGATCCGTAGAGTTCAACGCTCCGCCGACAATGGGCACATTTAACAGCGTAGAAATGTGGAGCCAGTCTCCGGACACTAGATCGCGACCTCCAGGACGATGGGTGCATTCATGCTGTTACAATGCTCGTCACGCAGCAACCCTAGATCTTCAGATGCTAGTCCCAGCGTACGTTTAAGTAAACTCTTGCCGGCGAGACACGGACTCGTCTGGTGCACAGTCGACGTTTTCCTTTCGCCAGTTAGCATAAATGTTTACCATTCGGCCGCCGCCAGTATATACAACATTCCCGACTCCGCTGGACATAACCGGACATTTCTGGATATGTTCGCCGCGGTGTACTATGTCCGGGGTGAATGAGATCACCGTCCGGTCCCAGTAGTTTTCCAACAGCTGGCCGATACGTGGACGCCCGTCGGTCAGCCGGACGGCCCGAAAGGGGCCCTCAGCGGCGCGCCAGGGGGCCGCGGAGGGGGAAGGGCCGCCCGAGCTGGAGACCACTGCCGGGGGCGCCGACGTCCAGGGCTTGCTGTGCGCGCGGGAGGACGGACACAGCACGGACGGGCCGCCCCTCACAACGGAAGTTTACTGTGTTCCGGAAACACTCAGTCCCAAGGATCGACTGCGCTAAAGGTTCGGAACGATTACGAGGAATTGGGCGCATCGAAATGCGTGTCTGGTCCAGTGCATACCAAGCTGCAATATACTTATATTTTCATACAATGTTCATGCAATGCTTTGACCTAAGAACGGACCCCCTGCGTGAAAATGATGCGTTAATGGCGACTATATTACCTGTATTTTGGTTTCAAGCGTCACTGCCGATGTGAATTGAGTCGCACTACTTCAATCCTTTCGTCGTTTCAGTGGTAATATGTCAAGATTTGTAGGGTTAGAATGAAGCAATCATAAACCAAATATCTTCCGCCAGTTCCACGTAAATAAAATGATTAATAGTAGGGATAATACGGAACCTGCAAATAATGAGGAATTCATGACAGGAGTAGGAACAATTCGTGCAGGACATCGATTGTCTGACGTCCCCCGGTGTTTATTTCTGAGAGAGCATAACCAGAAAACTGATAGCAAGAAACGGCTTTCAATCCCAACAAATCGCGCACTAGTGAAATTTTGTCATTTGCTTGTTTTTGCTTCCGGCTGTAACAACATACACCAAAGCGAGGCCGTAATGAGATTTTTATCACCGTATACTCGCTTCACATGGGCTACAGGCTAAGGTCAAAATGTTGTGAAATTGCCAAAGCATTAAGAGAACAGCTTACTGTGAAAAAATGTCTGAAATGAATCAGGAAGTATGATGTGTCCGTCTGTGCCCCGCTACAAGCCAAAAAAGAAAAAAGGCTAGCGAGCGCAATGGCGAAGGGCGTAGCATAAGGGTAATAGATGCAGCCAGCAACAGGAGCCAACGCAAGCAACAGCCAGGACGGGAGGGTAATTCGCACAGGACAGGAAAGTGGGCCAACAAGCCGCGCTTTCCAGTTGTGTAACTGGCGTCCTACGAGCGTCGCCCGGGTCAGTACCGGATCGCTCGTGACAAGTGTGACGTGACAATCAGCTACTGCGGCCAGTCTCGTCACGGTAGAGAGCAGCGAGGTAAGCCAAAAAGGCCGCCAGCCCCGAACCCGGGTCTTGTGACTGTGAGAGCGCTCTTCCTCCGCGCTGCCGCAGCTCTGGAAGGTGGCTCACCTGCACACATCGCCGAAGTCATGTGCACGACGGGAGACTCGGGAGTGAGGCGACGGTTCAGGAACTTCTTGGAGTTTTGGTAGGCGCAGAAATAGATGGCTCTAGAAGGAGCGACTCCAACCAGGTTTGGACCCAGTCCCTTGAAGAGTGCATAGGGACCCTCTTTTTCCACGATAATCCTGCAATGATTGCCGCATGTTAGGCACTGCATAAAACCGACATAACCTACTGACAATACCCATCGATTAACCTAATTATTATGCAAGTGCTTGGTACCTAACAGAACTGCCGCACCTGGGCCGAATGAGTGGCACTAGCCGCTTGCGCGCTTACACACCGCCTTTCCCTTTTGCATTTCCATCGTCGACGATATCTACTGGTCGGGTAGACGGGTTCTTTCCCTTGTGCGCAGCCGCACGCCGCCTGGTCGTGCCGGTGCGCGCGGCACCGCTTGTGACCCCGTCCGGGCCCCGCACCTGATGCAGCGCAGCGCGGCGCCGCGTCTGACCCCGTCTGATCCCGCACCTGATGCAGCGCAGCAGTCCGGCCGACCGGCCGGACCGCTCGAACGGTGGGCTGACGATGAAGTGGGCGTCGCGCGACGGCCGCACCGCCGCCGTGGAGAAGTGCGAGCGCTGACTCCGCTGCACGCTCTGGCACGTCACCGCGCCCCGGCCGTACGCCTCCGACGCGATCGACGGCACGTGGAGGTCGAAGCCACTCTGCGAGGACTGCAGCCGGGTCTTGACCACTTCCAGCGGGCAGGTGGCAATGGCACCCATTGTGCCGCCCATGCTGCAATAGGATTGATAACTGTAACTTCCAGCGGGCAGGTGGCAATGGCAACCATTGTGCCGCCCATGCTGCAATAGGATTGATAACTGTAACTTCCAGTGGGCAGGTGGCAATGGCACCCATTGTGCCACCCATGCTGCGATAGGATTGGTAGCTGTGACTTCCAGTGGGCAGGTGGCAATGGCCCCCATTGTGCTGCCCATGCTGCAATAGGATGGATCATTGTAACTGGTTGGTTTGGCATTGTTGGTCATTTTTATGACATAGAGAAGGGCACTAAGTTTTGTTTTGCTTCTCAGCTATATTCCAGAATTCTTAAGAAATATTTCATAGAACTGATGAATGTAGAGTTTCCATAAACATGTAATGCAAGAAAAGGTGGCATATAGCACAGATTCTTATTACTCATGAATGATGATGATAATCTATCAGTGTCTACTTAAACAACTCAATTTCTCCACATTACTATAAAAATAACATAATGTGTAAGTACAATACCAATCCTATCAAGTTCAATGGCTTGGCTGTAATCTCCTAGATGTTTGTCAGATTTGATTTTGCCCTTTTCTCTATTTTGCTATGACAGCCACTTTGCTGTTAATGCATATCCAGGGGTGTAGGTTCCTTTTCAGTTTGGGGGCTTCAACCTCTCCCCCCCCCCCCCCCCCTCCCAACATGGACTTAATTGACCCCAACTTTGTGTAGAACATGGGCAAAATCCAGGAAGAAACCTGTTTTTGGAATATTCTGGGGGCAGGTTAGCTTGCTTTTTACAGTGTAGCCCACTTTCTCTGCCATATATTTTGAGGAACCATGCCCCTAGGTAAACCTGCTTAAGCTACATGCTAAATCCCTGCCAAAAATGACCCTATGATGAGAAAAACTGCTCTGTGATGCCCAGAGTATAATAGCTATCCTAGGCTAAAATGATAATTACTACTAGAATGTTTTTATTCTTGTCATGGCAGCCTTACATAATGCAATCAGCACCCATATCAGTCAAGGTCAGGTGGTGATACATCACATCATTCAAGCAGCAAACATCCAGTGCCTTCTAGGTGCTGGATGGATGCAAATCAACATAATGTAATGCAGTGGCAGAACTCCAAATGCCAGATGCAAGAAATGTAGGTGGGTCATCCACAAGTCACTGCTGAATCAGTCATGAAATATCTTGAGCCTCATGCCAACATTCTGATTTCGGGAAAATGGCCACATACCTGACCAGCACTAAAACCATGCCCACAGTGAAAGCCAGTATACCCATTTACTTACCCTCCAGCAAAAAGATGCACCAACGTTTCTCGTGTAGACATTTCTAGTTTCGCGCCTGCTGCACGTGCAGCAGGGTGAGAGAATAAACAGCGTCTTCAAACAAACTCACAGCCACTGCAACTTCCCAAGCGATTTTCCATCAACTGATGGCACGGTGGCCTGGGTTTGCCTCTTCTACCACTTCAACCAAAAAGCACGACCTTCTTTTCCAAACTTCCGAAACACCGGATGCGGATCCACTGCCCCAGCGCGCAGGTGTTGTCCGGAGGTAGTCACACTCGATGACACATGTTGGACGGTGGCCACGTTAACGCCTTCTGGTCGCCGACACCACCCGCCCGCCCACAGCCACCAGGCCGTCAACGGCCCTACTACGAAGCTCGCTGGAAATAATCGCACGCCAACCCCTCCCAACCACTTTTCGTTCTGCGCTGGCCCCTGCGCGCACCCGCCGGCGTGCAGCAGTCACTACTGTCCACGTGAACAGCTTACGCTGCAAACAGAAAACGATCAGCCATTGGGTACCGTTAACATGAGAGCTGTTATACTTCTTGTGATTGGTCTACAATTCAGCTTGTTCACGTGATCGCTATTTTGGCGGCATACGTGACGCGCCTCTGGCTATTAGTACTGGCGTTATAAATTATGGAGTCGGAATTGTGTAAACATGTCAGTATGATGCATGTTATGGGTTTTTGGTAAGTTTAAACTTCAGGATACTAATCATTTGTAGCACTGATAATTTTTTGTGTAAATCTTACCCGAAAATTAATCTAAGATGACATAACTAACATAAGTTTGGTTACAGATTTCTTGGAAAGCTTTCCGAAGTGTTGTACATTTTCCAGGACAGTATTTATCGGCAATGTCTATCACAATGTTTATGTGTGCTTATGGGGACTACCGGATAATTTTCAGGCCATGGTTCGTAAGGAGAATCTTTTTTCACCATGCCTATCTATGACCGTTTGCTATGCTTGGCGCATGCGATACGAAACTGAGGGACTGTTGGAAGCGGTTTGAGGTGCATTATAGTGGGATGTCGCGTTGTATCCCCGTGCTAAAATTCATGCGGGCAGTGCGTCCAATTCGGATCTCCTTCATATTAAGCTGAATCCAGATGTTTTAAGCTCCGTATCTAAAGTAGACAGCATTGAAATCATTGCTGCGGTGTCACCGCTACACCAGATTTTTTGGACATAGGGTGTTGTGGCCCGGTCCATGTATACATACTCCTGTGCTGTATTTGAGAGGCTCAGTGGCTGTTATTGCTCCAGATGCTCCATCAGGTTTCAAACATCAGCTGGCTCTATGATATGGTTGCATTTGAAGGGAGATTCCCAGTCAATAAAATAGGTACATAGAGCATGGGCAATGACTCAGTTGTGCATGGGTAATAAGAGGCATTGCCAGTATTACATGAGCACCTTCTTACCCAAGGATCCTACAGAAGTATAAGAGATGGGATAAGAGCTATCACAACTATGGAAATACTGCAGTGGGAAATCATGCATACTTGCAGAAGCCTCAAACAGGCCCCCCAAGGTAAAACTTGCTTCACTGTGCCCCCCACCCATAGGGATAAAGTATTTCCATGAGTCAAAAAGAGACCACAATTAGCAGAATATTGGTTATCCATGCATGGCAACTTAAGTTTTCAAGTAATCATTCATGTGTGTTAAGGGCATTACACTTCTCCCCACTAGCTTTTTACACCTTGAGCACACACACACACACTTGCATGTAATCTTAAGATTGTGTTATTGTCTGTTTCAAAAGCAGTTTCAGGCAAAAATGCTTTGAAGAACATATGAAAAAGCTGAAAATTCAGTGCAATGCAAGCTGGTTGGGTGGTGCAGTAAACAATGAATGAGCATTTTGCATAAGGCATGTTGGTATGGTTGTTGGCAACACTGGCATGTATTATCTATAACATGGTCTGCAAACATTCACCATGAACATATGATATGGGTTCCACACCTTTGCTGAACAGTGCAGTAGGCACACTTGACAGTTTTCATGCACTGCATGCACATCATTGTTCTGCATCCATGCATACAGCCATGTTATCACCTTATCACCTTTATCATTATCACCTTCAAACTGGTCCTGCACCAGGGAAGTGGCATACAAGATGGGCAGCACATCCTGCACTAACATTCTCACTCTTGAGCCATGCACAAGTGTGTCCACCTCAAGAGAATGCTTCTGAGGAGGTGGGTAGGACATCCCGCACCAGCACGCCCACGTCTGCACCATCCACCAGCAGCAGGACAGGTGCACCATTGGCGGACAGCATCTCAGCTGGCGTCGCTACCAGTCGGTCCACCTCGAGCGGTGCGGCGGCCGCGCTCTCGGGCGCTACCGACGGCGCTGTGCCAGGCAGGAAGGCAGCAGCCGGCGGCGGGTCGTCGGCGCCCAGCAGGTCATCCTCGGCGGCGGCCCCCTGCTCGGTCCGACACTCGGCGACGGGCGGCGAGGCGGCCGGCGTAGGAGCGTTCTGCCGTTCCTCCTCCGCCGTCGCTGCCGGCTCCAGCAGCGTGTTGGGCCGCCGGCCGATCTCGGGGAAGCGCCGCTCGGCCTCAGCCACCTTGAGCTTGTGCTTGCTGTACAGGTGGCGCTTGAGGTCGAGGTTGAGCTCGTAGAGGCGCGGGCAGAGCGGGCAGCGGAGCGTGCGGCCGTTGCGGTGGCGCGCCAGGTGCACAGTCAGCTGATACTGCAGCCGAAACTCGGCGCCACACACGTGGCACACCTTGGCCGCGCCGCCGCCGTGCGCGCGCCGGCGGTGGGCGTCGCACGTCTGCTTGAACTTGAACCGCTTCTGGCAGAGATCGCAGGCGAAGCAGCGCTCGGCGCTGTGCGTGCGCAGGTGGCTGCGCAACCCGCTGCGGCCCGTGAAGACGCTATCGCAGTGCGGACACTTGTCGGCGCGGCCGGCATGCAGCAGCAGGTGCTTCTGGAACGACACGGGGAACTTGAAGCGCTTCTCGCAGACCCGGCAGCGGAAGCCGGCCGTCTTATGTTTGTAGAGGTGCGTGCGCAGGTAGTGGAGGGAGCAGGTCTGCGTGCAGTACGGGCAGCGGACGGCCGTGCGTCCCAGCAGGCTGAGCTGGAGGCGGCGGGCGCGTGTCTCCAGCCGGCGCACCAGCTCGCCGTACACGGCCGCCACCGGGTCGGACGCGTCCGGCTGCTCCGGATCAACCGGCGCCGAGTCGTGGCTGGCGTTCATGTGGTCGATGAGCTGCTCCTGTCGGCTGTACATCTGCAAACAGCTGTCCGACCCGGGCGGCGGTGTCAGCGGACAATATCGACATCATTCGGAGAGCGGCAATGAAAGCCTCCAACGTGAGGCGCGACGGCCCACCAAAACGCACCTCGCGGAGGACGGAATAGGGGGTGTCACAGTCAATATCGCTGACTGGCAGCCGACGCGCGACGAAAGGTCGGCGTACCCCAAACTGTTCTGGTGCAAGATGTTGTGCGTGAACCCTTTGTCCTCCATACGTAGACGAGCATTTATCCGCATCCCCGACCCCTAGTATCAGCCTTGTCACAACTTCGAGTGCATTGTCCACACATCATTGCGACCTTTCCCGCTGCGTTAGCGAGGCAAGTACTGCACTAGCCGCACTAAGGACCGATTGATCAATAGGTCGACGATCCTAGCTCGATTCCGCCTGACCGCAGTCGCGTCCCGACCACCCACACGATGCACATGTAGTTGGACGTGTGGGCGGACACCAGGTGGTCGGCCGCCTCGGCGGGGTCGGCCAGACTGACGTCGCAGCAGCCGCAGTACAGCCGGCCGGCGTGCTGGGCCGTCACGTGGCCGGCGGCGTCCGAGGCGGCCAGCAGGCAGCAGCAGGGTGGACACCATACGCGAGCCGCCACGGGCTGCTGCTCCTCGCTGTCGGCAGCGGAGCAGGGTCAGCACAGAGGTCAGCACGCGGGCACCAGGCACGGGACGCCACGGGCCGCTGCCCCTCTCGCCGGCAACGGAGCAGGGACACACTGAGGTCAGTAGCAGGCGGGCACCAGGCGCGGGTTGCTACGGGCCGCTGCTCCTCTCCCGGCAGCGGAGCAGGGTCAGCACGGAGGTCAGTAGGCGGGCACCAGGCACGGCTCGCTGCGGGCCGCTGCCCCTCTCCCGGTAGCGGAGCAGGGTCAGCACACCATGAGCCCAGCAGGGCGAACACCAGCCACGGGCTGCTGCTTCTCGTTGCTGGCAGCAGAGCAGGGTCAGCAGTAGCCCACGCCACATGAGCAGTGAAAATACAGACGTATAAGTGCAGTATGGATTATTCCACGCTACCCCAACCATCAGTCCAATCTTTGTCCCACTTCCAATTTGATTTATCATCACAGATCTAGACGCATCACATCTAGACGCTGTTTGGTATTGGGGGCTATCTTGCGCTCCGCACAGTAATCTGAGTAGTCTACTTCGGTGAACTTATCAAAGAAAGCGTGGGCGAATTCGGACCTATTCAGGCCGGGGAAGGCGCGACTGGCTCTGACCAACACACTACGAACACCTGGCAATGGTAGGTCAATAAGGTTGGGGGAGGGCGGGTCTAGGGAAACAAACTAACCGTTAAACGAAGAGAACTTCGGATCGGGTTTCGACAAAAGCACTTAAGAATTCTAGATCACATTAAACAGTTCATACAGGTTATGCATTTGGCTCCTTCTCCTAGAACATCAAGTGGCCTCGACGCATCACGCAGCACTTCGCCTACAAGACTGAGGGGTCACCCCACCCCCAGGGCAGCTCAGGTCCCGTGCTACTGCCCTGAGCACAGCCGGGTCCGGCCGCGTCCCACCAAAGCGGGCAGCCTCATCCCTACCTGGCCACCTTGTGTAGCCGCTCCACGTGCAGCCGGAGGTTGCGCTCGGTGCGGAACGAGCGGCGGCACATGTGACAGAAGCGGCCGGCGGCGGCGGCAGCGGCGTCCGCGCGCGGCCGGCCCCGCCGCGCCGCCGGCGCCACCTGCCGACAGGCGTCGAAACAGTGCGGAGCGCGTCTACACGCGGACGGCACGGAGTCCGACCATGCTGCGTGCTCTTGAGCACATAGGACGCTTCAACAGGGAATTTATGTGAACGCTCAGAACTGCTTGGATGAAAGATAACGACACACAGCTTGGCTATTTGCCATGTCCTGTTGAGCTTAACCTGTTTACCATGATCTCTATCAATCATTGGAAATTAAAAACGGTTCATTTGTAGAAATAGCGTGACCTGTGACCATGAACTGTGATCATCACCCGCCTGTTTTCGCGTCAAAGGACAAATGACAGCAACCCGCCGTCTTCAAAATCCGGCCCATTCGAACGTAGGTACCCTCCGAGGTAAGGACATCGCGAAACCATTACAATTGGACAATGCATACCGTTTTCCTTGGTACGTCCAAACATGCCTCCTCTACGTCCTGCTCGTCCTCCATCATGGTAGGTAACACCCTCCTTCTGGTTCTGAGGGACCAGCTGGGCCGACCGCCTGTCCAGTCGCGGTCACTGGGGTCGTCTGGTGTCCACTCCTCCTCCTCCTGCGCCTGCTTCACCCCAGACGAGTCCCTGGCGCGCAGGGCCGTTAGCGGCAGGGGCCGGCCGGGCGCTGCCGACCAGTCGTCCGCACCTACAGGCGCACGCCTCCCCGCATCGGCCGACACGCACGCCGGCGCCGGTGAGCAGGCTACATGCCCGTCCTGTGGGGAGCTGCGCTCTGCGAATACAGACGCTGCGTCGCCTGATGACGACAATTCTGCCGCAATGTCCTCCTCTGAATCACAGTGTGTCGCTTTCCTCTCCTCCGATGCAAAGCTTGTCCCTGCATGAATCACCGGCTTGGCCGACGCACGGTCTGCCGCCAACGCCCCCGTCTCCACACAGTCTGTCGGGGAAGGGGCGCTCTCCTCTGGCGGGACGGCGTCTGTCGCGAACGCGTCCTCTACAGCCACGTTGTCCACCACGATGACGCCGTCCAGGGCGGCCGCGCCGAACGCGTCAGCCACCAGCTGGCGCACGAGGCCGCTGAGGTCGAGTCGGCCGCGCGCCGCCAACGCGCAGCAGGCTGTGTACGACACCTCGGCCGAGTCGGCGCAGTGGCGGAGCCGCACTCGCGTGCGCCGGCGCGCCGCCGCCGCCGCCCGGTAGGCGTCGCTGACGGCGTCCATCGCCGCCCGGTACGCCACCAGGCGTCTCTGGCAGGTGAGTAGGAGGGCCCGGCACGGCCGACAGACGGCGCTGACGAGCGGCCGCTCGCGGGCGGCGCCCGACAGCCGCCGGCGCACCTCGGCTAGCGCGCGGCTGTCGCTCAGCACTGCGGGCAGGCCGCCGGCCGTCAGCGGTCCGGCGCCGCGGCTGTTGCAGAGCAGGCAGAGCCGGGAGAAGGCTGGCAGTGTGACCAGCACCTCAGCAGACATGGTTGTTGACCAGGCACGACCTCAGTGTTTGGCAAGACCAGGCACCTGAAACCAGTAAGCAGATATGGCCCACAAATCTGCGGACAGAACATTTCTAGGGATTATATTTGGATGCAAATGATTGATTGAAATCCAATGAAGGTATCAGTGACAGAAAAATGATAATGTGATCAGCAGTCATTGGGCCAGGAGCATTTTAAGGCCATTTTTGCTTGTGGGACACCACAGACATGATTATCAATCCTTTCTTTAACTGAGGAATTCGTCCCTATCCCACAGCAACACAGACCATGTATTACCATGACCAGGCCATACTCCCTGTATTCCACCTCTTCCATACAATTATGATCTGGACATTACAATATAAAATGTGAATACCACCAAGTAGAGTATCAACTCTACAAGGCCTTATCAATATGTCCTATTCAATAGAGATGCAGATATTCACTCCAGATCCAGGAGTGAATCCAGGCTTCTTGTGCTGGAGCTGAATCCAAAGCCAACAAGTAGACATGAAGCTAAAGCCAAACAGTATGAGGCCAAATATAAATTCAGTGGCTTAAAATTGTGCATACTAAACCCTGAAAATGAAGTCAGCAGCTTTAATCTTAAGAATTAGGCAACATGGAGGCAAAGCCACACTTATCAGAACATCGCTAGTGTAACCTCACATTTTCTAAAAACAGCCCTAATTAACTGGGTCTAATTGAAACCCTTGCAATATTGGTATCAGTAGACAATGGTATACAAGATATGTTTTATTATTTTTCTGGCTCTTTCATGTCTCAAACTTTCCACAAAAGCCCAAATTAAAGGGAATGTTTCACATTTCACCATATTTAAGCACCAGAGCTAAGGAAACAACCCTACTTATAACTATTTCCATGCTTTTTAAGTACAACACTGTTCCAGAGAGCACACTTGTCAAGTAAATATGCCTCTCAGTGTTTCATGGGTTGATTGCCATCACACTTCACAAACATTGATTGAAGCCAATTCACAGCCATCATATCAGGAAATCACACTCACAAATACCAGGTATGAATGCCTCAACAATGATGTTTGTATTCACCTTGATCACATTGCTTATGGAAAGACAGAATTTGAATAACCTTATTATGACATCCTAAATGACAAGGTGACTTTGAAATGCTCACCCCAACATACCTTTCCCTGTTTTCAAAGGTATGTCACTCAGAAACTAGAGGGGCTTAGGCCTTAAGAAAAGCAGGATTACAAACAGCAGCCAAAAGTCTTCAAGATGGCTATTCGAAGTTGAAATCCCATAAAGTGTGGAGCACCCCCTGTTAAAAGAAATCGATGATAAAAATTATACAATTTGCTATCTGTAGATGCGCAACGAACTTCTGAATACTTCTATAATCTTCATTTACATATATCTGCCATTAAATGACGATGAAAAGGGTTATCGAAGTCTTCACACCTTCCACACAGTTCGTACCGGTATTCTCCAAAATGTTACTTGAATGCAAGACTTAAATGGTTCTAACCCTAGAACTCTCTTGAAACCATTCCCGACCAGAAGCTTAACCTCATTTCTTTCAAAAACCATACCAACAACACCGTGCGTTTCAGCATACCCCCACCAGGCCCGTAACCTTCGCGCCAATGTTTGTGATCTCTGGATGTAAATAAGTGTTGTCGTTGAATGTGGCGCAGCTGTCCGAGATGTGCTTTACAGTCCCAGCTGATGATGACGTCATTAGCGACTCCCCTTGAAGAACGGTTCGGCCCATGGCTGGAATTGGGCTGAAGGGTTCACCGTTCGATACTGGGGTTTTATACATCCCCTTCAATTGTCTTAATGTGAGCTCACATCATAATTCTTCATTTTCCCCTCCATTTTCATACACAGGGGCGGATCCAGGGAGGAGGACACGGAACCATAACAAGGAGCTTCCCAAATTGGGGGCCACATTGTGTTTTGGGTACTCTGTTTGAATGGAAGGCCCTGTGAACTTGTCGGGGCCTATCTGAACGTCTCCTCGGCCGCAGTGGATTGTTCGAGGGCCCTGTACATATGTTGGATCTTGGCGTTTGAATTTAGGGCACTCCTGTCGAGGGCCATGTGATAATCTGCTTGACTACACTAAATCTTTCGGGGCCCTCCGCACTGGGTTTGAGGTACTTCTTATTTGAATGGAGGGCCTTACGCTCTTGTCGGGTTCCTTCTGATAAGCTGGTCTGACACATTCCAGTACTCGGGGGCCATTCACATCGGGTCTTGGGTGCTTCTATTTGAATGACGGCCCTACGCTCTTGTTGTGAGCCATATCTGTTACTCTGCTCGGGCACGCTCAATCATCCAGGGGTTTGTCGCGCACGTCACTGTCTACTGCGACGAAAGAGAAAAGGTGGCAGTAGTTTCTCCTTGTTTTCTTCAGTTGACAACCCGAGCCCCCGTGCAGTGTGACACAAGCGTAATCGCCTGCACCTCAGGACTCGGGCTGTCAGCCGGCTGGTTGCGGCCGAGTGGCCGGGACTAACACTGCTACGTTGGTCGTGCTGGTCTGGTTCGAAACATCGGTGCCGGCATCGAGCTGATGCCGGCCCGGACTGACAGACAGGTAAACGCGTCCAGAGAGGGACGGGTCATGAAGAGTAAAGAACACTACGCTGTCAGGTTACACACAAGATATCATCGATAGTTTTTTATTAGAGCGCTCCCCACCAAGACTGGTCATCTCAGGGCTTTGGGATGGAGGAAAATGGTTAACGGTGGGACAGACGAGCACGCGCCTGGAGGGCCAACCGCCGAGCTTAAACCCGCGCATGCGCGCTGGGTACCCGGTCGGGGTCTCCCTTCCCACGAGCTCTCGGCCCACTCGTGGCTGACGCATGCAGCCTGTCCCGGACAAGAGGGGTGTCGCGAGGATGGAGGATGAAGCAGAAAGAGGATAGGGGGATAGATTATATATATATATATATATATATATATATATATATATATATATATATGTGTGTGTGTGTGTGTGTGTGTGTGTGTATATTATCGATATGGCTCGGTTCGACTGCATCGCTTGACACCAGCAAACATCTGCCTAGTTATGGTAGTCAACATGCTATTAGCGGCAAACAATAGCAACTGTTCTGTGGTAGGCATATCACTCATATCAATACACAACATTAACAGTGCAGCGAAGCTATGGAGACACACACAGTTCTCACACGACGCACAATGTCACACACACACACAACAACATTCGTTAGCGCCACCTATTGGTGACACACACGACTAGGTGTCGACCTCGTGCCGCTACAGGTTCTCCATGCTGTGTCTCGGGCACTTCTTATTTGAATGGGTGATCCTATACTCTTGTGTGGGCCCCATCTACTAAGCCGCTCGAGCCGGTGGCTGATACAGAGATGGAGGGGGGGGGGGGACGGGACCATGCCCCATGGACCATGCCGAGGGGACCTACAGACTACGAAGGGGCCTTTAGCCGGCTGAACGGACGCCGTTCTCTAACGAA